CAGCTCCACGCTGGTGTACCTAACTCTCACGTACTGACCCTATAGGATCATTCCGCCGCTGACTGAGGACACCACATCAGCCAGCGATAAATCCGCTAAGATGAAAAATAACAAATAGAGGAAATATGACGAAACTTATTTACATTATAATTCTAAGATGAAGAATAGCTAAATCCAACTTGGATGCAAGCCTCCGACGCCGACGTAGCGTGAGACCGGCGAAAAAACACAAGTATAATACCTACAGAAAATATAGTAAGAAAAACAAATGGTATACTTCTACCCTATAACACACTCCCCCACCAGCCTCGGCTCACGCGACTTACTGCTGGTCTCGAAAATCCGCGAATTAAGTACACATTTAATCATATTATCAAATAACTCTTATATCTTAAATCCTACGTTAATGACTGCAAGGATCAACTCAAGCAGAAACGATCACCAAAAAATTCAGAATTTGGAATTTCTCCTGGACTAAATTCACAAATTTAAAGTTTGAATTTCGACGGCGTAAAAATTTACAATTCATCAATGTGCAACTCGACATACGTGTTACGTACTCGAAATTGTATAGAAGTACGGTTAGACAACTCAAGTTGACACAAGTCAAAACACACTAAGGACACGGTTTCACATTAAAATTAGGCAGCTCTAGAAACAATTATATTTTTTCGAAGCTTTTCTTGGGTTGCACATTTGATAAATCTCTAACCGATCCCGTTGACCTCAACCTACGAGGAGAATACAGTGGCTCTGTCTCATCTCGCACACACGCCTCACAGCTAGTTTGTTTCTGCATAACAGGACGCGGCAGAACTCTGTCGTAAGACTCAGAAATAAAATTTTCCAAACTAAAGGAACTCTTCTGGCTTTCGTTGTCATCAATAACAAAAGAATGTGAAGGTTACCCTTCATCTGATAATACGGCGGTGAACCCTATCGAAATAGAACCTAATTTTAAATAATATACGTTTAAAAATTACTTTTTAAAGACAACACTTCTAAAGAATCCAGTGTCTCCGATGTTACACATGTACAATGAATTTCTAATTTTATTATCATGTATACGTATGCAAAAAGTAATTTTTATATTTTATTTTTAAAATGAAAAAATTAAAAATTTCAAAATTATTTATAGGTAGGTACTGTCAATTGAATCATGCATTGTCTCCAACTTTACGCTAGTGTGCAAAATTTCAGATCGATTGGACAGGTTGAAGTATGTTAAATATCCATTATCAGATTTGTACGTAGCAGACAAATTATATTTTCAATTCTTTTAATAATAAAAATAATTTATTTATTTCAAAATTATTTATTCTGTCAATTGAATCATGCATTGTCTCCGACTTTACGCAAGTGTGCAAAATTTCAGACCGATTGAAGAGGTAGAAGTGTGTTAAATATCGATTATAAGATTTTTAGCCGACAGACAAACAAACAAGAAGTGAAGTTAAAGAGAAGTTTTGTAAAAAACTGATTTTCTCAGACTAAAGTTGCTGCTTAAAGATCAAGTCGTACTCATTGCATTGAAGTATCGGACCTAATTATTATCTCTTAAAGTACGGCAGTTAAAATTTCAGAAATAACGGATATGTATAGAGGCTGTGCCGCGCAAAAAATTGTAGAAAAACTTATGATATCATATAATGATTAATTGTATAGCTTAATCACTCACAAGCTTATAAAAAAACAGCAAGTTCTCCTCTTTCTAACCTCACTCGACAAGCTGTGCGTCTCGAGCAGCTGCTAGTGAGGCAGCTGCTGCTGGCACGCGCACGGCTGTCAGCCGTATCATTAATAATAATAATAATATTATTATTATTGTTATTAATTTTTTATTATTATTGATTAATATTATTATAATCGTTCGAAAAAAGGGAGCTGTGCGAAGTACTGACTCGGAAGTACTCCGTTTCCTTTACTATTCAGGAGCTTTATGTTAGTAAACTTCTCCCTGTCAATAAACCAGTACCTGGACTATTTCTCGCTATCTGTGAACCTTCTCTAAAACTTTGTTTGTTTGCTTGTCTGTCTGTCTGCTACAAATCTTATAATCGATATTTAACACTTTTCTATCTGTCCAAGCGATCTGAAATTTAGCACACTTGCGTAAAGTTGGAGACAATGCATGAATCAGATCACAGAATAAATAATTTTGAAAATTTAAAAAATTGTATTTTTCATATTAAAAAATAAAAAATAATTTTGTGAGCTAGGTACATAACTTTTAATAAATATTTTACACACTTTTACCTGTCCAATCGATCTGAAATCTTGCACACTTGCGTAAAATCGGAGACAATGCATGAATCAATTGACATGTATCGTATATTATTTATATTCCACAACCTTTGACCACCTAGTTCTGAAACACTTTGACTTCATGAAAGTCTGGCATAATGCACAGTTTGCGCCTTATGGTTGTGTGCCTGGGGAAGTGATGGCACAATAACTCAATATGGTTCCTAGACACACAATATTATTGTGCAAACCGAAGTATTGCGCAATAATATTATGTGTCCGTGGATTTCATGCAGTCAATATATTGTGCAAACCATATTGCGCAATAATATTGTGTGCCTAGTAGCTGCTTTCCAGACGTTGCACTTCAGCGTGACAGCGCTTTCACTCCAGGGCTTGCGCAGTGTGAAAACGTTTTAATCGGTCCGATAATTCCAGTTCAAGCGGCGTTTAAACCCTTTAATGTACCGTGTACGTACCATCAATGATACAAAGAAAATTTCACAAATTTTGCCCAAAATGCCAAGTTAATCAGGCTCTTATGAATTTTATAAAAAAATACATTTGCATTCGAAAAATGCGCTGTAAGATACCCATAATTTAAATAGAAAGTAACATAGTTTTCCATTAAACCTATATAACAGAAATAAATATTACCAGCCGTTGCAGCGACGAAGAGTCTCTCAATAGGATGTTCTGTTCTGGTAGATTTTCTGGTAGATTTATTCATAGTGCTAAAGCCTTTTAACGACTCATAGGCTGCTATTAAAATATTAAATGAAATTAGTGCAATATCATAATTAAATAAAATCATCATTACTCTCCCGCATCAGAACTCTCAGAACGCCGAACTTCTTCTAAATCCCACTTCATATTTTTCTTTCTTCATCGTCCTACAAGCGACTATGAGTGTCGTCGCCCGCTCCTGCATACAACACGCTGTGATCTGAATGTCAGCGAGGGAATTGAATTCATGGATTGAGTACATTTTCACAAATTTCAACCGAAGCCACATTTACAAAACGTACTTTGGAAACTCAGCAGCGTTAAGCGAACGTCGTTTATCCGAGTCGGAAATTTTAACGATTCCTTAATAATTAATAACGTGGATCAGATGCTACGAGCACTTGTCAGACTCTTAATTCCCGCGGACATCAACAGGTATTTTGGTCCGCCGCTCCTTGATAGAGTCTCCTCTTCCTTCGATCTAATCGAATAGGTAATTATTTGCGCGTCATCAAATTAATTTTCGAAAAAAAGATACTATGAACTGGAAATTTTCAAATCTTTCTGTTAGACCGGTTGTAGCTAAGTGGTTACCTATAAATTGGGAAAAATTATGAATAAATTTAAATTTTTAACCGCGTCAAATTAATCGATCTATTTTGTGTAAGTTGGAGAATGTACGATCTTCGCGGGACTATTAAATATCGTGCCGGTCAGTTCTGGTTTTTAATGAACTTTAAATTTTGCATTATTATATTTTTTCGTTTGCTAGCAGCCAGTGTGATTAAAATAGAATAAATATTTTATATATTTCGTTGACATTCTAGTAGTTCATTAATAATAAAATAAAAGTACAAAATTAATAAAATTCAGCACGACTTGCAATCGAGTTCAAATTTTTGAAAAATAGGTTGCATAATTTTCCTCTTGAAGGAAAGATGTCTTCCGCAATGAACTTGCGTGAGTTTGCTCCACATATGTATTTGTCGTAAGGGTGTTTTTTAAGTATGCCATGTCTTTGTATTCGATTAAATTTTTAGTTTTTCGATGCGTATCTACGTTTTTTTTTTAGAGTCGGCGGAGACAATTGATGTGACTTCGACTCTCTGAATATTAATCTTACCGTTTTTATCTTTGTTTATGTTTATGATTATTTGTGTTCAAAATTAGACAAGTTCATGAGATATGTTTCACTTTTCCCATTCTCACGCGAACGTTGTTTTGAGTTACTTGTTTTGGAGTGTCCAGGCACTAACTTAATGGTGAATGCTTCATGCATCAATTCTTTCGTAACCCAAGTGCTGGAGCGCAATTTTGCAATGCTTTGCTCTGCTCGATATGAAGCGCAACATTCATGCGCCTTCTTCTCATGTTTGTAGTGATACTCAAATCTTGTTACGCAGCGAAACTTAACCAACGCTGCATTATTTTGTGAACTTGTTTACGTCTATCTTTGGGATAACTATTTGTGGGCCTGAACTAGTATTAAATTCACGATGCTTTTTACTCATATTAACTTAGCTGATGGCACGGCTCGCCAGTTGAGATTGTATATACGACCTCAATTGAAATGTGAATGCATAAGCTCGCGTTTTTGCGTTGATTATGTTTGTAGACTTTAGGGGATTAGCGAAGAGGTTTTATTGGTGTAAATTACAAATTCAAGTTAATAACTGGTGGAAATTTTACTGAGAACTTTGAAAGTTGATTGAAAATATGAGATATATAAGAAAATTTTAGAAAAATTGGCTATAATTTAATTGCTTAATTTTATGAATTTCTGCATTGCTGTTGAATGTCGAAGATCAATTACTGAATTAGTGTTTGAAAATTTTTTCGGCGACCCCAGTCGGATAAATGGTCTGGCTTTCTTCATTGTCAATAATGAAGCAAATTTATAGCTGAAGTGCAAGAAGGTTGGTGGTATACATATATACGAACTTCCATGAACATCAGTCATGGAAGTTCGTGTGTTTATCACTTGACATAAAGTTAATACATTAGTGATGTAAGACTCGTCGGTATTACAGATATCCAGTCATGGTGGGAGCTGCCGAGCGTCGCGCACTTCTGCTCGCTGTTCCGAGCAGCGTTTGATCTTCTGCATTTCGATATTGAGGTGAGTTGTAGCCTTCTTCGCTAGGACTAAAGGAAAATAAAGCATAGCTGTAAGCAACTTAAAATGAGAGAAACTCTGGCACTCCAAAATAAGGTAACGATACAGCAAAGTTTAAGGGAGATTTTTGAGAATTTTGACTTGGGATTGATTATGAACGGAGTTGATGAAAAGTACTTCGGCGTCAATAGACACTGTACTAACATGGTTCTGTTCCTGGAGCAGATCTACCCTCCACAGCAAGTGTGTGCCAACTCTCTAGATAATCTTCGTGACAGTTTCCAAGTGACACTATGCTACTAAATCTTCAAATGAACTTGCCATAAACCGATCTCAATATTACCCCAACATTACATAAACTAATACAAATTAAAAATTAGAAAATCAAGGAACGGTGAGAAATTTCCCATATTTTATATCTTCCAAGTTAGATGAAATTATATTTTTTAATCAAAATTGTTTCACTATCGAGTTTTTTGAGAAATGTGTTCCTTGAAAGGAGATAACTTCATAAACTTCTTACATAATCCGGCTTTATTAACCAATTAACCAGAAAATTATAGCGTTCTGTGAAATGAATTGTTTGAAATATTGGTTATTTCAAGACTGTATTTTCTAAGCATGTTTCTCCCCCGTGTACTGAACATGTATTGTGAATGAGTTATGGTTGTTATTCCCCACTAATTGTTTAAAATAATATAATATTTATCTTGTAATTCTGTGTTCACTTTTGCGCTGGATTGTTATATAATTTGCCTTCCCATACAATCTTATTGTAGACTTAGACGGATTATTTTTTGACGAACGAACTTGCTATGACTGCGATTAATCATTGATAAATCACTGTTACTGACTTGTTTACATCACCGAGGTCTGTTAGTGGCTTCTTGTATGCTACGATTTTTTATATAAAGTGTTACTTTTTATGTATATGATTTGTTAGTGGCGTTTTAAATGGATGAAAGTTTCTTGTTAAATGCGGCTTTTTATGTGTGATCTATTAGTTGCTGCTTGTCAGATGATAATTTATGAAACACTGTTTTTCCTGCAGCACCTTGTGATCAAACATACAATAATCTTCCTATCTCTACACAAACAGGAACTTGAGGAGGCCATCCTGTGCGATGGAGTGGATGGTAGCGAGGAAAGTGGCAGTGGTGGTGGTGGTGGAGGGCTGGTGGTAGAGCTGGTAGTGCGGCTACTGCAGGGCTGCATGCCGCACGTGGTCGTTACACCGCAAACTGTCAATGAGCATCTCATGAATATATTTAGGGAGAAGTGCCAGGTTTGTAACCATTAACGGGCTGTAAGCTCATGAATATATTTAGGGAGAAGTGCCAGGTTTGTATAAGCTCATGAATATATTTAGGGAGAAGTGCCAGGTTAGTGACCATTAACGGGCGGTAAGCTCATGAATATATTTAGGGAGAAGTGCCAGGTTTGTCACCAGTAACGGGATCTATTTTCATGTTTATCTCAACTGTAAGAAAAAAATACATATTTGATCACGTTATTCTATAATCAAAAAGAGCGAAGTCGTTGTTGAAAGTTTTTCCCGGAACAAACTTTTCGGGGCAGTTATATTATTTTATATATAGTGGATAATAATTCCAGAACTTGGCAGACATGTTGCTGTCTTTCAATATCTTAGTGATTAATTACTGACATTAATAATATTTTAGCAATATTAGATAGCGCTAAGAATTTTCATGTTTCGATAATGATAGCCCTTTTTCGTGAAAGTGAGTGATTCCTTCTTAATGCATTACAATAGTGAGAAAATCATTTGCTCGGTGAAGCTATTGGTAGGTAGATAACAATCGGAGTTCCGTCAGCTAGTCAGGCAGAAGACATTAATAGTGAGGCAATATCATCGTTCGCATTTACATGTTAGGATTCGTTTCATAAATATGATGAAGTTTTGAGATCTTATTGACTAGTAGTTAAAATATCCTCCGGGGAAACTATTTACCTCTCTTAATTTAGTAAGAGACTCTTCTTGATCAGCTGGACCCGAGTCGCGAGAACCTCTTCACGGTTGGGTCGCGTCTGCACCGTCTGGGGCTGCGACACAAAGTGCAGCTCCTGCACGCTCTCTGCGACTTCAGGCTCGAGGCTGACGACGTGCTCGATCTCCTCAAGGTGCTATATTTATACAATTTTTTCGTATATTTAGGGTAGAGACCTTCAACTTTAGATAAGTTTTAAACAATAGAATAGGTAGGTATACTTTTCTATAAACTAAACACGAGATAAGATACTTTGATAATAAAATACTTGGTGGATGAGATGGGGATGTAGGCAGAGTTCTGAATATGATTGCAGAGTTACTGTAACGAATTGAACGAACATCTAGTGTTCATTACCTATATTCATTGCCCGTCAGTGTTTACTAATATTTCGGTGAGACATATTGAGTTGATCAATCCTGCAAGTATTAAGCAAGTAAGCGTCAAGTTTTCCAGCATATCTGACAGCACTGTTCGCTTTAGATTATTGGATCACAATGATGATGGCCACATAAATCAACTTGCAAAGTCCGTCACCTAAATGCTGCTCGCTGAGCATCATTACGATGTTGTGGCCTGGTTACTAATGAGATTACAAGGAAGGACTCTTTACCTTAAGTTTGTACTCTATATATCTAAGTATAAACTCCTTACGATAATTATTTTCTCCAGAACTTGGAGTCAGACAGCTTACGTGTCGAGCCGCTGGGTTACGATAGCAAGGGCTCCACCTTCTGGTACTTTTATGGTACGCGACTGTACCGCGAGGACCACAGTCTATACCACCCGCACAGGTGAGGTTTTCTCTTCTTGTGGTATTCATGAATTACCCAAATTTATTTAACTGCAATTTTTTACACCTAATTTGTAACATGTATGTGAAGTAGTTTGGATTTTAATAATTGTTCGATTCAAGTTCCATTTTTTATAGTTTATTAATTTTAGTGGTTTATTTTTTACCTTTTAATAATATGTTCAATAATTATTTATATGTACAGAAATTATTACAGGACTATATATATACGACGTTGCGTATGCATTAGAACGTAAATTTATGTAAATCTTGATGTCGCATTCATGAAGTGACATCTTGCGACGTGCTCAGCACACATTCATCAGAGCAACCGAGTGAACGCATTCATTTCTGACACTTATTGCAATTATGTACGCAGGAGACGCCCTAAAGACAAAGCCCCGCAACTTTCCTTACACGACAAACGCAAGAAAAAGAGAAAGAAAAAAGGTGCCAAGGATGACAGTGACGACGAGGGTGAGGATGAACAGCCGCCCCCCGTGTGGCAGGTGAGGCTTGTGAGGCGTGACGTTTAAATGTCCTTGTAGGAACGTTTAAATGTCCTTGTAGGAACGTTTAAATGTCTTTGTAGGAACGTTTAAATGTCCTTGTAGGAACGTTTAAATGTCATTGTAGGAACGTTTAAATGTCTTTGTAGGAACGTTTAAATGTCCTTGTAGGAACGTTTTAAATGTCCTTGTAGGAACGTTTACTTCCAGTCTAACGTTGCAATAACACTCGGAATCGAACAATAAACAATGATGATACCAAGAATAAACAATGGAATGGGAGTTAATAATTATACTAAATGTAGGTTAGTTTAGTTTGTATGCAGTGGATATTTTAGAATAGGTATGCGCGGCATATTCTATGTATCACTGAAGTTCATTCATGTTATATTTTTTGGTTTACATCATACAAACGGTTTTCGTTGTAGGTTTTGTGTAATAAATTAGAAAAAATGTAGTGCACTTTTTTATTGGCTCTCTGCATATTTCCCGGAGAGTTTTTTTTCTTCGATATTCAGTGCGAAGTGCGCGTGTATTGTGCATGGCGTCGCGCTCCTTTTGTCCGCATTGTAGCTCCACATTTTCACTCATTCCCTCTAACTTTAGGTTGTCTCGGATAGTCGCCTATTAGTTTAAGTGATCTTGCTGCGTGATATTAAACATTACTTTTTTATTTTAAGAAAATTTGCATAGCAATTCCGTCACATCTCAATAATGTCTGAAAAAGCTCTCTGTTTTGGAACATCTGAGCAACGCGCTTAAAATAAGAAAAATAGGCAGAAAAATAGAAAAACTTACAAAAGATCAGATGACCATCACAACAGATACGACCATTTCTGCAATTAAAAATAGTAAGAACAACAAATCCACGGGCCCTGATAACATTAGCATTCAACACCTAAAGCACCTTGGACCCAACGCAATAACATATCTTACCAAAATATACAACATAGCAGTAAACAAAAACATCATCTCACACACATGGAAACTAGCCAAGATCATACCCATACCCAAACCCAACAAAGACACATCCATAGTTTCTTCTTACAGACCAATATCACTCCTCAGTCCAATCTCCAAAACATTAGAAAAAATCATACTCAACGTCAGTCAAGCTCTCATTCCACAAATAGTTCATCAACACGGTTTCAAGGGAAATCACTCCACAGTCACAGCCCTACACTCACTTACCCAACATATAACCCGCGGATTCAATCAGAAACAACCACCTTCACGAACCATTACAATAGCACTAGAAATGTCCATGTCCAAATCATTCGTACGCAAGTTAATAGACATACTATCAAAGATTCAAATTCCACCAACATTAACGAAATACATATCCAATTACATAAAAGGAAGAAAAGGCTACACACTTTTCAATGACACCACTTCCAAACAGCAGAATTTCAAAACAGGCGTCCCACAAGAGGGCGTCCTTGCACCCACTCTATTCAACATACACCTCAGACCTCCCCACTCCACCCACAGATGTACACGTGATGTAGAGGTACCCACAGAGGTACACAGATGTACTTGGCACTTCTCATCACACCACAATTACAAAATTGCAGAACAACGTATACAACCATTTCTACAACAGATACATGACTGGACTATCAGAAACAACCTCCAACTAAACGCATACAAAAGTACAGCCACACTTTTCACACCTGACCCTGCTAAGCACAGGAAAACACTAAACCTTACCATAGACAATACCACAGTTCCCACCATCACACACCCAAAAATACTAGGAATCACATTCGACCCAAAACTAAACTTCAATACCCACATCCATATCACCCATAACAAAGCAACTAAAACAATAAAAATTCTAAAATCTCTCACATCAACAAACTGGGGCACACAAAAAGAAGTCCTACTCACAACCCACAAAACTATAACACAACCTATAATAGAATACAGCAGCCCCATCTGGTCTCCCAGCCTAGCACAAACTCACAAAAATAAAGTACAAACAATCCAAAACACAGCACTCCGCATTGCAACAGGTTGTACAGCTGATACTAACCAAAGCCACCTACACACAGAAACAAAAACGCTTCCAATAGACCAGCACCTCAGACTCCAATGCATCCCAACTCAGACTAAAAGCTCAAGCACCAACCCACCCACTTCACACTCGTACTCAACCTTACAACCCACCCAGACTTATGAAACAAGCAGCTTCCACAAACTGAAACCACACCACTAACATATCCATAGAACCAGATCAAGCCACAACAGAAACACTGAACAGATGCAAAAAACAAATACACACTACAGTCACAACTAACTACATTGACAATCTACCAAACAATGATGTACTTTCTGCGCGAGCACCAGCCATAGACTCTTCAGAAACCCAATTACCCAGACACACACGCCGAGCACTAGCACAACTCCGTACAAACAAGTCCCCCCTACTACACCAATACTTACACAAGATAGATCCAGTCACACATCCATCCCCTCTTTTTCCACTCTGTCACGAATAGGTACACAACACCAACCACCTGTTAGGCTGCTCGGAGCTGGTCACGCCCGTGTCGCCCCTGGTTCTGTGGAGCTCTCCCATTGAGGCGGCAAGGCTGTTGGCGCGCTGGGGAGAGAGGTTGGGCTGGCCACAGGAATGGGTGTAGGCCCCGTCCCGCATTTGTCGCGGGACGGGGAGGGCGAACAATAACAACGCAGTCATGACTCGCAACATTGACCTATACTGTGGTGGTGCAGGTCGAGTGCTACTCCGAGGCTGACTGGAACGGCTTGGCTGAGCGCTTCGAGGGCTGCGAGTCGCGCTTGGAACGCTCGCTCCTGCAGACGTTGCGGGAAGACTTCCTGCCCGAGATACCGCGTCTCTTTCAGGAGAAGGAAAAGGTATGTTTCCTGACTCGTTTATAGAAACGATTGTTTTCTATCGAATGGCTGCAACAGTGTTGCTTGAAAATTTTTTTCGGTTTATCTAAGGTTATAGCTGGCTTGTATTTTATTTCATGTGCAACGTTGTTAAGTTCAATAGTGACTTTAATATATATATATATATTTAATAGTTTTAATTTTTATAGAGAATATAAAGATGTATTTTTTAAACGAAATCGTGCAGCTTCAGCGCAAGAAGATGCTAGAAAATACGCCCAGAAGAACGTCAGGCCGCGTCCAGAAGTTGAAAGAGAAGCGCGAAGAAGGACGGTTCGACGACCACGCTTTTCCTGGGTCGCCTCAACAATCAAACGGCGTCTCGGCGGCCACGGAAACCTCGTCGGCCCTTGGAAGTTCGTCCCTCGCTGGAGGGCCGCCATATTTGGACGGCTGCAGCGAGGGTGTCGAGGCCATCAACAGGCAGCTAGACGAGCGGTTGAGAGACGGCCTCCTCAACGGTCTCGAATCAAATATTGAGATCAAGAGAGAAACTCCAGATTTCGATGAAGTTCATGATGATTTTCATGATTCTCGAAGGCCACACTACGGCATTTCTTCCCCTTGTCCTCCTGTTTCTCCTCCTCCGCCTTCCGGTAATTTTGCCTCTAATGCCGAGGCGACGCTCCCTACTGAAGGTTCATTCTCTTCTCAACCGCACTCGCCGGTTCATCCTCTTCCTTTATCTTCTCCTCTTCGGCTGAGCTCGCCAGTTGTCGACGAGTACGACATCGACAATGTCGAACTTGACAGAGTACAAAACTTCAAACACAGTTACGTTAGCAGTAAGTCTTATCTCAAGTGCTCGGATCTCTCTTATAGGAGGTCTAGTACTTCTTCTTCCGTTGACGGACCTCCTGAAGAAATCAAGCAAATCAAGTCGCCCGTTTCTTCAAAGTATGACTCATCTTGTTCACTTAGTGAAAAGACTTCCAAATCCTCTTCTAGTAAGAGTATTAATAATAATAATAGTGATACCAATAAAAATAAATGTAGTAGCAATAGCAGATATTATACAAAGGAATGTAATAATGTTGATTTTACTGACGTTAAAGACATTACTTACGAAGCAGAGCCTTCAAAAGAACAACAGTTCCGACCTACAGACAGCAAAGCAGACGAACATGAGGGAAAAAAGAGGAAACGTAGACTTTCAAGTGTGTCTTCTAGGAACGAGTCTAAGAGCAAAAAGAGGAAAGCTACAAATTCTTCAGAAAACTCCCGGAGGAAGAAAAAAGCGGACGAATTCACTGTTTACGAAGACGAAACTAGAAGATGTGACAAGTTGCTGGATGAAATAGACGACGAGGATGAGGAAGTGGAAATTTATTGCCCCAGGCCTGGCAGGTGAGGTGTTGGCGAGAACAGCGAATACAGTTGCTATTCTTGAATAATTTTACCAATAATGATGTTCTTTTTTAATCGCCAATATCAGAACTTTGCAAAGGTAAGAACTGAGTAGTACAGTTACTACGCCTATATCTTTGTATTAATAATAATCTTGAAAAAATTTTAATCGCAACTGTTTATTGTAGTCTTTTCAGTGCATTATTTCACCTCACATTGTTCCTGAATTAGTATAGTTTGATCTCATAGCTGTGTTGCTGAAGTTTGTCTGTTTCACAGAAGACGCAGTAGCTTCAGGGACCAAGAGCTCGCTATTGCCGCGTCTCTGGCTGAACATGAAAAAGAATTGGAAAAGCAGCGACTAGAAGCCCTTCTTAAAGATGAACAGAACGATGATTTAGTTCAAAATGAAGCCTTGAGTGAAGGAAAAGATGCTATCGGGCCTCCTGCGTTGGAACCTACAGGTCCTGCAGCAGAGCTGCCTGCCTCTGCCAAAGAGCCAATCAAATCAGCAACTGCTGATCAGACCTCCATTGTGAGTAGACCACGAGGACGACCAAGATCGAAACCCGTCTCTAAGGCTACTGAAAACGAAACTGAGACCAATGAAGATGACTCTGTAGGCACGGCGAGCAGCATAAGAGACGTAAATTCGGCCATCCAAACTAGTCTTAAGAATGTCGTCGAAGATCCTGTGTCTCCCTTGCGATCTCTACAGCCTGAAGACTTTAATCTGATTCCTGTAGCTGGAAAGTCTCCCTCCAAAGGGCTGAATGGCTTGACGGCCAGAAAATCCCAGAGAAAAATTTCCACTGATTCTGATACTCTTCCTGACCTCGAGAACGACGAAGAATTTTCTACCACGAGTGCTGACAAGTCCCAAAGTGACAGCGGGGTTGGTGATGGATCTCCGAGAGGCAGCTCTTCTTCTGTACCGACGGAGTCTGTCAAGCTAATTGATTTAAATCCTGATGAAGGAGTGCAGAGCTCCAATGGGGATAGCCCCTGCAGTATAATTGAGCCTTCGCCTTTCTTGTCACCATCTTCGTCTAATGCATCTAAAGCATCATCGAGTAAGTCTTCCAAGATGTCAGAGCAAGTTGCGTCTCCAAAATCTTCAAATGTTCTTACTAAAGCCTCCAAGAAATCCAAAGAGAGCCATTGCAAGGCGACGAAATCGAGTCAAAAGAGCAAAATTCAGCCATCAAAAGCATCGAAGAAAGTAAAAAAGAAGAAGAAGAAAGTCTCCAATGAATATAGCGATGACGATGTCGACCAAAGAACTGATAAAATCATTAGCTCTTCCGACGACATTGATAAACCTCAGGTTGGGCTTGTTATCTTGGTTGATCCGACCTTCTAGCATGAATTCTCATCCATAATCAACAATAAGTTGAGCGAATCCGTGTGTGAGCTGAATTAAGCATTTTTTCTGTTGTTTGCTAGCTGTGTTTCATGGTATTATGTTGCTGCACATGTTCAAAAAGGTTCCTGAATTTATATTATTAACTTCTTGGCTAATCCACGCGCTAATTGAATAGTATTCCACGCGCTTGAATACTAGGATGCGTCTTATCTCTGTCATTCAATCTTAATTTTTTAATTACTGTTATGTTTTTATTTAAAATATGACAAAACTCAAACCTTTAAACTGCGCCTACAATAGAACCCCTGTTTCTTCCCTTGGAAATCTTAGCTACTAATATTCTCCTATAAGTTTCAGTTTTGAAAATAACGATGAAAGTTTTCATGCATTTCCGACGCATACTACGGGACGGTGTGTCAAGTTATGCTCTCGCGTTTGCAGGTGTACAGCGGCCGCAAGACCAACAACTCTTTATCATCGTTGGCTTTCTCGCTGAGCCCCGCGGCCGCTGTAGTGCCTGAACCCATCGAGCCTCCCGCGCCATCCGTTCAGCCCACAAAGAAGAAAGTTAAAACTTCTCACGTGTAGGTTTTCATGTTTATAAAATTCGAATTGTCATTTTTTTTACGTCAGTGCTCAGTTATATTTTATTTCCTTGAGTAATGATATGTAAAATTAATTCATAAAAATAAGTTTCTCTACTTTTTTGCGTGTGTCACTGTGTAGAACCGATCAACAAGATGTAGAACGACTCACTGAATGCGATTTGGTTAAGGTAATCAAGGTAATTTTTTTTTGTGATGGTTGTGTAATCTTAAGAGTAGCTTCACTTGTATAGAGTTACCGTAGAGGATTATTGAATTTTCTACAGGTGAAAATTCTATATCGGAGTTTTTCTTACACAGGGTGCTGCAGACCGACGAGGACTTGAGGACGGGCATGTACAAGGTGCTGGAGCAGCTGCGCACCCACCCTGACGCCTGGGCTTTCCTGGACCCTGTGGAGGAGTCCATAGCCCCCAACTACTACGCCGTCATACGTAGACCCATGCACATTACCAAGGTCTGTTGCTACATCGTCAGACCCATGCACATTACCAAGGTCTGTTGCTACACCGTCAGACCCATGCACATTACCAAGGTCTGTTGCTACTTCGTCAGACCCATGCACATTACCAAGGTCTGTTGCTACATCGTCAGACACATGCACATTACCAAGGTCTGTTGCTATATCGTCAGACACATGCACATTACCTAGGTCTGTTGCTACATCGTCAGACCCATGCACATTACCAAGGTCTGTTGCTACATCGTCAGACACATGCACATTACCTAGGTCTGTTGCTATATCGTCAGACACATGCACATTACCTAGGTCTGTTACTACATCGTCAGACCCATGCACATTACCAAGGTCTGTTGCTACATCGTCAGACACATGCACATTACCAAGGTCTGTTGCTATATCGTCAGATCCATGCACATCACAAAGGTCTGTTGCTATGCATCTTGTGCCCGACAAGTTCACTGCACTTTTCTATGATCTGTTTCATTCTTCTAAAATTCATCAGCCAAATTGTTTAAGGGTCTTGTTGCTTCATGAAATCGCTCTAGTTAGCGCGAAAATTAATTTTTTTCCTGTTTCTCTGATATATTTGCGCTTACTTGTGTGATAACGTTTCCCTGTGCTGCTAACGTTTATGGAACAAATTTGCTACGTTTTTTCGGTATTGATTGCTTTTTTACATTTTTGAACCATGAGTGCCTATAAATGATTTATACGCTGCAATATTATGTATATTATAACTGATTAGATATGCTGCAATTTAATCAATGAGAATACTTTAATTCCAACATTTCTAGCGTTGTTGCGTAAAATTCATGAAACAATTTTTGTTGCAGCTGGAAGAACGACTTGACAAAGGTTACTACACGTCCCTGGCCATGTTTGATGCCGACTTCAAATTGATGATGGACAACTGCAAGCTCTACAACGGACCTGGCAGCGGTACGAATCTACAGAATGTTTTACAATGGGTTGCTAGGTTTTCGGTATAATATATCATCCTCAGTTTAGTTACATGCATTGTTAGATATTTTAAACAGTTTTATTTCGCATTGAACTGCTGGGTTTTGAGGCAAGATAAAAAAATGATGTTGTTTGCCTACCATGTACATTATTGGGAAAGTCTTATTCGTGCGTGTTAATTATTTCTATCATTTCAGAGTACACTCACATGGCGTATACACTGGAAAAAGTTTTCGCCAAGCTACGAGCCAAGTACCTCGAAACAGACGTATCATCGGATGAAGAAATTTACATCGACTTGAGCTATGAACAAAACTTGACTTCAAAGAAGCGCCGTCGGAGCAGGGATGAGAAAGACAACAACAAAGCTGTCAAGGCTACCAGTAAAAAGGGTCGTAAAAAGAAAGTTGGCCGTAAACCTAAAGATCAAAAGTTGATATTGTCCAGCGAATCTCCTAAGGAGCCGGAGACATCTCCAAAAAAGAAAGTTCTTACGCCTGCAATAAATAAGAAAGATGCCCAAGCCGAAGAAAAGTCTAAAAACAAAGAAAATAGAACAGACAAGACAAACAAGCCTAAGAAGAAAAGTAAAAAAGCTTCTGATTTGGCTGTTGATACGGAAGGAGACGAGGCTGAGCAGCCAGCGGCTCATGAAGAACTCGTAGAAACTACAACGAAAGAGATCACCGGTGTCACCGTTAAAGCCACTTCTCCACCTCGCGTTGTGCTCCCAATAGATGAAGATTATGATGACGATGACGATGATGACTATGATGAACCACCACTTCTGGTCAGGGAAGATCCGTACCCAGAAGAGGAAGATGATGACTTCGAATATAGCAGAAATGCTTCTCTTGCTTCCCGGTACTCACCCGCCAAAAAATCTGAGAGCAAATGTTTCTCTAGCGAATTGATTCCAACGCCATTGTTTTTACCAAAACGAAAGCCTGGAAGACCTCGAAAAGATTCGAACACAAAAGCTGCTGTCATCACTCAGGTGTACCACACTAACAGGGAAAGTACTAATAATGAGGCTAGCAAAAGATCAGCTGTGACAGTCTGTAAATACTCGGATGATGATAGACTCAATAATAAAGACAGTGTCATTACTGACGTGTCAAGCTTCGCTGCCAGCAAGCTTGATGTTGATATGGACGATGGCAGTCGAGACGACCAAAATAAACATCGTCTCCTCGATCCTCTAGAAGTACTGAAGCCTAAACAACGCCATTACGTTCCACCCGCTATCATCGATGATGACGATGATGACGATGAATTAGAACAAGACGTTTGCATTTATTACAAGAATGACGATTATCAGTCTAGTGAGGAAGAGAGGGACGAAGCCAAGGCCAAGAAAGATTATATTACTAAACGCCATAGCGAACTCTTCGGTGAAATTGACGATCTGGACGAGGAGAACGACCGAGACACATCGCGCGACTACTCCGACCATCACTCGCAGAAGAGTAGCAAACATGGCAGCAAGAAGAAGGATAAGGATAGGAAGAGACATAAGCATGGTGAAAAACACCACCACCACCATCATCACCACCACAAGAGTAAATCTAAGGATGGTAAGCACCATCACAAGAAGAAAGACAAGAAACATAGTTCTGACAAGGAGAACTCGAGGAAGGTTCTCAAGGTTGAGGAGGTTTACGACTGTTCTGAAGACGACCCCAACTCGAGGGACGTGATCCACAGCCCGGCGCAACTGCCGTGCGACGATGAGGTCGTCCACGGTGACGTGTGCGGCGTGTATGATGTCGACATAAACGATGAAGACGAAGCGGGCCGCGTCAGTGTGGACATGGCATCGTCCGAGAGCGAATCTAGTCTTCTGAAGAAGAAGAAAAATAAACACAAGTCCAAGCATCATAGCAAGCACCACAGCAAACACAAAGACGGGAAATCTAAAGACAAGGAAATCAAGAGCAAAGCTAAACTCTTGAAAGTTAAAGGTAGCAAGGCTATTGTAGAGAAAATTAAACCTGGCAAACTAAAGTCCAAAGAGAACAAGAAGATGAGCAAAAGCAACAAGAACGGCAAGAGGAAACTATCACAGAAGAACGTTGCTGCAATTGATGCACTCTCTGTTGCCACAGAACAGACACTCAAGGTTTGTCTCATTCAAAATTATTTGTTTGAAAATTTATTAGTCGTTAATGTTGTATGATGTTATCATAATCCCCGATTTGGTCCTGTTCAAAGGCGCCTTTTCAGAATTATTGTTCGTGTATATCATTTTGTTGAAGAATTAAAAACATCAAATTGTCGCTCGATTTTTAAATATAAACAATTATACTCTGTCCTGTCGTGCAAATCGCATTACTTACTTCTCTATTGCACTGCGACCTGTGATTGCTGTACTGTATTCGCATCAACTTTCTATCACAATCATGCGTAATTTGAATATTCCCTCTTGAATTCCATTATGACATTGCTCTATTTGCAGCCATTATAGTATTATTCAATGGAAAAAGTCACTGTTTGCGACTTTATTTTTGAACATTTTTATGTGCAGGATATCACGTTTATGCTTGACGCTCCTGGTGTGGCTCGTCTGCGTCAGGACGAAGAATTTCAAGAGGCGTGCAGGGAAGTGGACGACGTGCACGATGACGTGTACCAGCCTGTGGAGGACGACCGGGAGGGCTCGATGCTGCACCTCAACGCAGACGCCCTCCGAATTGAGCAGGAGTATCGCCAGCGCCTCAAGATGGACAAAGTTGAGCGTCAGAAGTCGGAGAAAAATCAGCGCTATAAAACGGAGGCAGCAGAGACCGATATTAGCAAAGCGCCGCAGCACAAGAAAAAGAAGAGGAAGAAAGACGAGACGGAGGCTGGTGTTGCCGATACTGAGAATAAGAAGAAGAAGCTCAAAACCGAAAACGAGGAAGAAGAACGGAGCAAGAAGAAAATGAAGGCGAAGAGCAATAAAGTTAAAAACGATGTTGCAGAGAAGAAAGACTCTCAGACTGGCAATGTGAAGAACGATAGCTGCTTGGTTAAAAGCGACACGGAGCTTGAAAATAAAAAGATAAAGCCCTTCTTGGACAAGAAGAGTGATAGCGATAAGGAGTCCTTAGATAATGGAAAAGAACTCTTCAAAGACATTAAGGACGGAAGAATTAAGCCTGGTGCCATCATCAAGTCAAAGGATATAGCCAAAAAAGAAGGAGTTGTTAAAAAAGAACCCAAACCTCCACCTGAGGCCAAACCGAAGCCTAAACCAAATAATCCTTTCGGGAAAATAAACAAGCAAGAAAACTCCAAGTTAACTACGCTCATTGCCAAAGCTAAAGAATCACGCGTTGGTCTCGTTCCTTGCAGTGAAGTTGGCGACAGTCCCAAACTGAGCCTTGGGAGCATCATTGTTTCTGGGGACATCGGGACCGGCATCAAGTCCACCCACGAAACTGACGACGATGACAAATGGGAGCCCCCACGTGATCGCGAAAAATGGGAGAGCAGCCCGTGGGAGGGTTCCAATTGGGACCGGCCGTCTGAGCGTGAGGAGAACACCCCAGTTAGGGAAGAAGAGCCTGTCAAGAGCGAGAGGGAGGAGGCGGAGGAGGTGATAGTGTGTGACAAGCAGCAAACTCCTTCAAGAAGTGAGCCCAGAGAAGACAAGACACCAACTATTGAGGAAATGACACTTCCTGTGACGCCCAGAGCCCCGGAAATCAAACAAGAACGCGCCACGCCCAACTTGTCTGCGTGGTTCAAGGCCTTCGGCGCTCCTAAGAGCAGCAACAACAGTAACAATATTAATAGCGGTGGTAGCAGCCAGCACGGTAAACAAGGAGAAGATGATGACGATGTGGATATCACCGAACTGCATTCACATGAGTATCCTTCTGTGGCGAGCGACGGTAGCAGTTTTTCGAGACCTGAATCCCGTCAGTCGAGACAGACCACGCCAGTGCACCACCAGCAGCTACAGCATCAGCGCCCGTCTTCACAGCTGCATCAGAGTCCTGGAGCTGGCAGTCTTACCGATCATATGAACAGTTCTATGGAGCAGGAACAGGATGATCTCGACTCCAATTCCCAGCAACTTTTGATCGGCAGTTGCAGTGGCAGCCTTCGGGATCCGATGAGCAGTGCGTCTCGGGCGTCTTCCGCTGATCGCAATCACCGCATTAATGACAGCAACTCCAACTCTGCTGTAGATGTTGTCGAGGTTGTTGGTGAAGACATTTATAATAGTAGCAAAAATAACGTTGGTGATGACAGCAACGACTCTCTCCGTAGCGGCGATCACTTCAACCAGCCCATGCTGCCTTCGAGCCCCAAGCCAGTGTGTTCCCCTGAACCCCCTCTTTCCCCTGAACCTCCCATGTCTCCTGAGCCTCCAATATCTCCCGGAAAGCCTCCAGAGACGCCCTGGTATGAAAAGCTTGACGAGAAAATGGAAGACGAGCCTATTTGGAGGAAAAACAAGGTGACTATTAACACTTTTGATATTTATATCATACTAGAAACTTATCCGACATGTACTTCTGACGAGTGTCTGTGCTCGTTAGAAGTCCTATAGAATTTCGCGCTCCAATAGGGTGATTTTTCCTGAGCGCCCCACCGCCGAGCTCGCGGTGTCTGACTGCAGGTCGCAGTTGTGGGGTTAAGGTATTATGTAGGTAGGATTCCTTACATTTCCCTTCTCTATCTCTCTCGTGCGGGCGGCCGACGTCCCGTGTAAGCAACCTCTTGTTCGAGTGTCTTAGTTTCTGTTGCTTGTCGCCTGTCCCTCCTTGTCACTTCGTCTCTTAGATATGCTAACGCTGCTTCTCTCGAGCCAGCTTCAGCGGGCTGGACAGTTGAGACCTTCCGCCCCTTGTGGGTGATGATTAATTTGCGATATTGAATAATTGAGACCTTCCGCCTCGCTGGCGATGTTACATTTTGACCTCCGGTGCTAAATAGCTTGATAGCTGAAGTGCTAGCAAACCACTATACTACTACTACTACTACTACTACTACTTGTAACTTCTGTTGATTTTCACCTGTCCCTCCTTGTCACTTCGTCTCTTTGAGATGCTAACGCTGTTTCTTTCGAGCCAGCTTCAGGGGGCTGGACAATTGAGATCTTCCGCCTCTTGTAGGTGATGAAGGATTTTTTGATTTAAGAAACTTTCAATAATTGAGGCCTTCCACCTCGTTGGTGATTATCATCTTGACTTTCGGTGCGAGATTACCAAATAGCTGAAGCGCCAGTAAACATGCTGCAATTAAACTAACTAACTAACTAACTAACTTATGCTTTAGAATTGATTGACTGTTAATGCGCACCAGTATTATCTATTTTTCGCCTCGTTCAGTTTTCTCATATTACCTCAATTTTCAGATGGAGGAGGAGGAAGATCCGTACAAATTTGAAGAGGAGGAACTTGACCGCGCCCGAGAAGAGGCCAAGAAGTTGGAGGTGGAGCGACAGCGCAAAGCTTCGGTGTCGTCGTCAGGAGTGTCGGACCGCTCACCTCTGCCTAGCCTCGAGAACTCCCCAGCCGCGTTTTCTGAGGGCGAACGGTCCCCCGCTATCAATTCCCCCGTCACTCCAGGGTTTGGTGGAAAGCAATTTTCACCGGTCACCGAGAAGAGCCCCAATATTCCTTCTTATTCACCACGATATGATTCGTCCATTAGTAAACCTTATTCTACTTACGAAGCTGATAAATCCAAGTACCAATCTAATGGTGGTTTAAAAGTTGGCTTTTACAAAGACCATTCAGAAAAATCTTCCAATGAAAAGCAAGATAGCAAGTCCTCTGAACACAAGTCAAGCGAATCTCCTCTATATAGCCCCACTGTTCCTTATGTTTCCAACTTCTACTCAAAGTCTGACAGTGCACACAATAAGCAAAAATCTCCGGGACGTTACAATAGTTTTTACCCTCCGTCTATTGATCCTAGCATAGACAAGCCCAAGACTCCTGGCTATTATCCTTCCTCAGCGCCTTCCACGCCGTCAGATAAACCCTCCCCGAATACCCTGGGATCTGACGTTGACAAAAACAAGCCTCCCTTCAATTATTATAATTATGATCCTAACAAGCCTCTCACTGATCAGTTCAAAGGCTCTGGTTCGTCTCATAGTACACCCACGCATAATAGCACCCCGAGTAGAAGTACTCCGAGCCACAGTTGCGAAATAGTACCTGCTATTCAGTCTCGCGATATCAATAACGTTAGTCACAACCAGATACCCTTACATATTTCACAGCAGAGCAAGCACACATCGTCCTCGCATAACCACAACCTGGCGGACGCATCTCGACAGATGAAGCAGCCAGGCTACTTTGCAACTCCAGAAAGCAACAGTCACGGTACCTTATCTCCGGCTGGGCCTTCTCCGGTGGTGGCGTCTTTGGGGCTCACTTCTCCCAACCAAATGCCAATGTCGTCCTTGCCTCACCATCAGCAGGTTACAGCTCCGCCCGTCCCTCCGCCCGTTCAAAACAAGCCAATCGACCACCCACCGCCTAAGAAGCGCCCTGCTCTTGATCGTGTCCTGGATGAAAGTAATATTCACAGTCGTAGTTTGGGTATGAGATCGCCTATTGATATTATGCAATTTCCTCAACACCCATCTCCTAATTTACCAGCCAACTTGGCAAATCTCTCTCAAATTGTCTCTCGCTTCCCTGATCCTCAGTTAGGTGGGTTTTCTTTATCTGAGAAAGATCCAATGTTGCTTAATTTACATCATGAGCGTCATGCTCCCAGCTGTCCTCCAGCCAGCCATGATAAAATGCTTCACTCGCCTCCCATTTATGGATCTACGGAATCTGCCGCTTTGCTTGGCATAGCGGATCACCATCAACCGAGCTTATTATCAGGTCGTCGGTCTCAAATGGATATTCCTAAAGGAAGAGAACTGGAATCTCAGCACCCCGACCGACCTGCGTCTTTGGCGTATCATCACCAAGTCTCGAGTCCATTGATGCCTCCAACACAGTCCTCTGTGGGATCGTCTTCGAGTTCTCTGCACAAGCATCAAACTCAGTCTCATGGTTACAACTTATCGGCTCAAGCGTCCGCGCAGCCCCCGCCTCCCGCTGCTCATCAGAAATCATTAGAATCTGATCGCCCTGGCAGCCGTAGCGTCCCTCCTCCACCACCTAATGTCGAGAAGTCACATCATTATCTGCCCCCTAAAACTATGTGGACATCATCATCCCTTGCTTCGTCGCTCCCAGTTTCATTATCTTCCTCTCTTGCTTCTCCGTTCAATCCCGCCGCCATGGCCCAGTTTGCTCTGGCTGGTCAGAAGAGCTTGAGCTCAATTCCTCCTGACCGACTGGCTCAGCTTGGCATGGACAGAGCCGCTCTAGCATCGCTGGCAAGTCGCTCCAACACCAATATTTTCCCTCACGAGCTTCTGGGCCGAAGTTCTGGCCACCAGTCGCACAGTCAGATGGGCGGGGGAAGTCACGGGTCTTCGTCCATTGGATCGAGCCATGGCAACAACGGCAGTGGGTCGAATGGTACCGGTGGTAACAGGTCGTCAAGTTCAGTTAGTAGTTCTGTAAATACGGCGCCTAGCAGCAACGTGGATCTCACTTTGGCGCGTTCCTATGCTAGTTTAATGTCAGGAGGTCAGTCGTCCCCTTTATTTGGACGTGGGGATGGATCACTAACGCCTCGCACCTTACCTGGGTCAACGTCACCTTTCTTATCTCAGTCTCCAGGTTTATCCACGTCATTATCTATGCCTGGGGCTCCTCGAACTCCTACTCCCGCTCATCAACAACCTCACCAGTCACTGTCACTCGGCCAAAGCAACTTCGGAAGCTCCTTGCCCCGAGACCCTATTTCACAATCGCATCCCTCCCTCCAGATACCCTCATTGAACAGCATCGTCAACAGCCAGCCGCAGATCAGTCACTTGAACGCTGCGGGGCTAGCGTCTTACCACAGTCGCGACTCGTTCGCCCTCATGGGCCAGGGCAGCCGCGGGGCGCTGGTGGGTGCAGCAGGCAGTCTTGTGGACCCGGCGGCGTCACAACAGCTATATGAACAATACCTGCAGCGGCAGCAACAGGAAATTCTCCTGCGCTCCAGTCATCCTCAGTTGGCAGCGCAACACTCCATGATGCTGCAGCAAGGATTCATGTCCGCTGCAGCTGCTGGATATCCTTCTGGTTATCCCGCTTCTCTAGGACTACGGTCAGGCCCCTATCAGGGCATGAACCGTCCATGGCTATAACAGTAGAGTTTTTGAGCCCTTCAGCGACCACCTTCAATGAATTGGGCAAACTTTTGCCAGGTGTTAAGTCATAAATTTGAGTGAAAGATGCGACTTTGACTGTAATCGTAAACCCTCCTACAATGTTGTAATTCCTAAGGAAGATCTGCAATATAAAATAACTTTTAAAATGGTTTCTTGTTGACTGTCTGAAAGTATTTACTCTTTGTTGTACCGAAAGACTTGAGCGTCGAAATTGATTGTTATTCTAATGAGCTCGGCTACAATTATACATTTTGATCATTTTTTCTTTTGTCCATGACTTTGAATTAGAAATTATTTATTGAATGATTACCGTTTCGTTGCATTAAATAGTTGGAATGATTTCTCAGAATGATTTTTGGAAATTGCTGATATTTCATGCATTTGGCCTCTGATTTGAACTGTAGCAAAAATTATTGCCTAACGTCCGTTCAATCTCATAGCTAGGTTAGAAAAATTGGTGGTGGTTCACGTGTTTGATTCTGTTATTCTCAAAACGGGTCTTTCTCTTAGCAAGAAAAAATTGTCCCTGGATTTCATGTAACGTATGATACTTTTATACTTGCATGTAACGTATGAATGGCGATACTTTTACTTAATTGTTTGAAGTTTCTTCGTTGACATGGCATTTTATGTTCCTTTACCGTTCTTAAGGTTAGAGGTGCGGACGCTTTCAAATAGAAATATACCTGAAAATTTCAAAAGATACAGCGTCTTTGCCGTCATCAGTATTGGAAGCAAATAAGAATTAATTTTTATACTTGTTATTTTATGAACCTAAACAAATCTTAATCCTTTTTGGTTCCGTACTCTTTAAATCGACTTCTGGTTTACCGGATATTGTGCAGGTATTTTCCAGTCCATATGTGAGTGATTTCATTTTCGGCGTCTTATCGTTGAACTTTTTGAAGAGATACGCTGTCAGCCAAACTAAATGCTTATAAACTCAGCCAGTTCTTCATTTAAAATTGTAAGTCCTCAGTATGTGTCAAAACGTCTTCCCATGCATTCTTTTTGTTGGGGAAAAATCGAAAGCTTCCTTCTCAAGTTTACTCTTTTTTAAGAACATATTTATTTAATCGCGTAGAGATTTCGACGCGATAACCATCGCGGGTTTGAAAACATGGATGTGTTTTTATAGACGTCGTCATCGAAGATCAAAATTTCTGTCATCTGTGTTAGTATTTCAGGCAAGTTGACTACGCCTGAGCTTTTCCATTGCCGGCTGGGAAAGCTAATTAACTTAGTTATAAGCCTATGTAAAACACGGCATGGTGTTCGTTGAGAATGATGAATTTTAATCTCGTCTTCTATGTATCTTTCTAAAAGATATGCGTGTTGTGTTGTCTGTTGGGTTTATTAAGATTACGCAAACAATGTTCTTAGAGAATAAGACTGAGGAGAAAATGTCGTCCGTGAACAGACTCTGTTGCGACGAACGGACCTTGCATTGTTCCCCTGACTTTGTTGGAATGATTTGCAGTCCAGGGTTATTGTTTTATCTTATTTCTGAATGGTGTTGAACAGGTCTGTGTAAAGGACTTAATAATTTGCAATTAATAAATTATATTTTATTTCTCTTCGATGTAACATTTTGACTGGAAGTTGGCGGGTTGATTTCGACCGGAAGATGCGCGAATCAAAATTTCTCTTCATAAATTGTAACCAAAATTAAATCTGCTTGTTTTACGAGTATAATTTTTAAATATGTGAAGGATAAGAATCCGTATGTCTTCGAATTTTGTACGAACTTCATAAAAATTGCAGGAATTTGTGGAATTTTGTACGAACTTCATAAAAATTGCAAGAATTTGTGGAAGGGCTTCTTTTACTAATCTTTTACGGTAAACCTTTCGTCCTGAACAATCTTGAAGAAAGCTGAATTTAGAGCTCGTGATCTCTATGAGATTCCCTGCAACGTACCTGCATTCCAGTGCCGAAGTTCACAACTCGGTAGTTCTTGGCTGCTTCTTGCGTCTGTTCCCGCCGTGTCAATTGAGTAGTATTAAAATATATAAAATAATTCTCATGCTGCAGCTAAATCAGAATTTTTCGTGAAACGAAGTTTTCGCATTGAAGGCAAGTTGTCTTTCAGGGATTTCGTGACGAGAGTTATACCGACGAATGGACCGGGGGCCCATGGCCTGTAGATTCTATTTGAGCTGTTTTTATATCTATTCTTGGTGTTTCTTGTCGTCTTGTACAGCAAAAGAAGATCTCATTTCTCAAATTTAAAATACGAAACGCCGGTAACTGAAAAAAACACGAAGCCTGAACTGCGACACAGAAATGGCTTGGCCATGTTTTTACCGGATCTTTTAGATCGTTTAAAAGATATGACGGAAAAATATTCAAAAGGACACATTACTAATAAATTGATGGTGGGTGTGTCACGTCTTGTTCGGCGATACCATACACTAATTCATCAGTACGAGCTTCAATAGTTCGGCTGCCGCATGCTATATTACGGACTGTCTCGACGGCATTCCGTCGCCTACGGTGAACTGTATAAAATTATTGTTTTATTATGATTAATTAATTACTGTTACGATTATCCCTAGTTTTGCAGCTCTGTAAATAACATTATAATCTGTACATACCCTATACATAAATATGAACAAGTGCTCGCGTTTTTTATGTCCTTTGATCCCTTAGCTCTGAAATCTAAACTTGTGAAGTGTTTTCAAAGACTCTTGCTGTTCAATTGTATATGTCTCTCATAGAGACCTATTTGAACATGTTCCAGTGTGTGTTTACGGCATATTTACGACATTTTCTGGCTGAGACACAAGATTGAAAAGGTTTGCTTCGTACAGCGAGCGCACTTCGGTGCGAAGCGACTCCTCTCTCCTTGGGGATTGCCGCTCGTAGAACAGATAAGACTGGCGCCAAATCAAATTATATGCAACCGAGCTTACTATAGTCTATATTTGTTTAGTTTAGAGTAGTGGTTAACAAATTTATTTTCACCCCCTATCACCTATTTTAGCATACCTCAATACATGTAATTTATTGTGCTGAAATTGTCAACATTGAATCATCGATATATATCTATAAATATTCGTTTTTATCCACTAACCCTACACGCCATCACTCAAATCCCGCACTATTTTTTAATCCAACACTTGAGTTGTATGATTTCAGTGGATGGCATGAGCATAGGCACCAGACGAACAGATGTCCGCGGTGGATTGTGAAAACGTCCCAAATGTATCACAAATAACCACTATTAAAAAATATCTTAATGAAAATGCATCTCCAGAAAATCACCCATAAAGTGTGCACAGCTTCATCGCATTCTTATATTGCCATCAGAGTAGAATATTCATCGGGGACTCGAGATTTGGCTCTTCCGAGTAAGTATGGTCCAATTCAATCTAAGCAAATTTAATTGACTAATAGATTCTGTAACTGAAGTGAGAAAATGAGACGAAACAGTTAGAGAGTGTTTCTTGAATTATACAGCCAATCGTTATCTCTTTCTTAAACTGAGGTGAACATTTCAGATTAAACAATATTGGATATATTCATACATTACGCTGTAATTTTATTCATTAATTAGAATATCTGTTACGTATATTCGTTTATCGAAGGGGTTTGAAACTTTTTACCCCAGAACCAGTATCAAACTAAAACTTAAGATGCTCACCGAATCAAAATTGGTTGCACTGTGCATTGCCAGAATGTCCCAGGTGAATATGAGTTATAAAAAAGTGTATTTGAGAAGAGATAATTCAACAATTTATGTTCTTAAGTTTTGCATTCCGTCTTCCGTTATTTTTCAAACCTTACGTGACGTAACATTGTTGTAAGCTATGCAATTACAATTGCTGAATCAAATTTAAATTTGTCTTGCTCTCTTTCTAGTTGTGCCTTCTATAAACAAACGAGGACGAGCGTTTTTCAGTATAAATTCCTACCCATGTCATAGTATAAATATCTAAATGGCTCTAAAATGGTGAACGAACGTCCTTCTGCAAAGTATCTATAATGATTAAGAATATTTTCAATATAGGAACCCACCCCTGCCAATCCATAAATATCGAAACGGCTTCAAAATGTTGATCGGTAAGTGGCCGTGCAAAGTTCCATCTCCTGCGCGTCTCTTTATTTGGTTGGTTGCCGCTGCTCATCACCCAGCGCAATGAAATCTCAAGTCCGCACAGTCCTTCGATGGCGGGCCCATCTTTTCGTTCATTTTTTACACGACATTCTCATAATAAATTTTTGGGAAAATTTCCTGTATTTCGAAGCAGGAATTCAATAATTTATCATTAATACCAAATAAACGGATAGACTGGAAATGAATTGCAGGAAAAATCATCAAGCATCGGAAAATTCGCTGTGATCAAAGTGTATTAAAAACTACTTTTATTTCTCCTAAGTAAGTAAGTGCCTATTAATTTGGCTTTATAAATAAGTAGCGGGTATTCATCTCACGTTTACCATTTGCAGTTCAAATAATTCCCGCGACTTATAATCGTGATTTAAGCCACTCGTTTGTCTTATTAGCAAACCATCTTACACCGGGCACAGTTAATGATTTTCCTAAATCCTTACAATAGCATAAACCAGAAAAATTTGTGATCCGTTTCTTGGTCGCAATAACGAACGTAAAGTTCCTTGCTAGGCATCATTTTTGCTGTCATGTTCAAGGCGATCGAAAGTGACTCGTTCGTCTCATGTGGCGCGATGATGTTTTTTATTTCCTTATTCCATCCCATGTCTCCTCTGACCCTGCCGAATTGGGGAAGGGCTCGTGAGCTGCGCTATTGGTTGATGATTACTGTCGGTACTTCGCTTTAGATTCAATCACAAGAATTAGCACAACCTGAGCATTGAGATTAGCGGGAGCTTGTTAAACTATATACTACTACTAGTTGAACTACTAGTTCAACCATGAGCGGGAGAAATGACTGAGGGCATGTAACTGGTTTCGTTGATGCAGGCTGCGATGCCCTCGGAAAGTCGGACAGTCTGCTTTATGAATATCGTGCTCGCAGCCGATCGGGTCTGAAACCAATCGAACCCTCATAGTTACCCAAGTTATGCGCCTTTGTCCCTTCAGGCCCTCAGGGCTATCTGTCTAAAGCCTTGTCTGTCGATGGCCTGAGTTGTCACATCTATAGATTAATTTTCGTCCGCCCAACAACAGGGGAGCTGCAAAATAGAACTTGACACCCTCAAGGTCTTAAGGCTTTCAGTTAGACCATTGAAAGGACCAGGAGATTCGACAGGGAATGAAAATTTTTATTGAACTCCGTTTAATCAACATTTTTGTTAATTCAAAAACTCCGGTGACAATTTATGAAATGTTTACTATGTTTACACTGGAATCTTTACAGGGGCCTAACTGGGGAAGGTGCAGTCAGAAACTTGTACCTCATGTCGTCTTCTGAGGATACAAGAACAAATAACGACATACATTGTAAGTCCTTACTTTGCATTGCCATGCACTGTTGCTTCTCATTGACGAATGCTAGCCTGCCATTGATGTCATAGTGGCGGTAAATCCATCACTCTTCCATTCTCTTGGAAACGAGACGAAATATGTACAATTTTATACTATACATGCAATAGCGGGCACTGTTTGCACATACGGAGAGCAAAGCACATATCAAATCGCAATAAAATGTTAAATAACTTTATCTTGCTTGATATTGTCGGCTGGAATTCTTTCTCTTCCTCCCTGTGATCCAGACTGCATTTCCTAGATTAATACATCGTCGCTTCCTCCAGACGATATATTGTCTCAATTTTGTCATGATGTATTTCTCTCATTTGATGGCGACTCTCTTGATTGCCGCCTGAACAGACATCCGTTCTACCAAGATTAATTTCCCTATCCATAGTATCGTCCTGCTTGCCGTCGTGACGCTCTTTGGAGGAATGGTAAATCGTGCCATTGAAACCCTTCCATGATGCACGAATTTCTGATGGTTCATCTCTGCCACTTCAATTGAAGATGCATTAGTTCTTAAAATATAATATACAAATGCACGCTTCATAAGTCTCTTTTCTATAACGCTTTCTCATTATTTTATTAATGAGAAACCCACAACGTGTAAAAGTGATTGCGAAACAAGTGATAATATTTACAGATTTTTTAACTCCACCACTTGGAAGAAGAAAAATTATGGTTTTAACTATAATCCTGACTAGCTATAATGTTCGTTGGAGCTTGACACAGTAGTTCATGTAAGGCTCCAATTATTATTGGGAATAATATGCGAACTGCTCGCGTTAAATATAAAAGATAAATTTAAATATAGCAGGTGTTCTGAGAAATAGATCATGTGTTCGGAGAAATAGATCATGTGTTCGGAGAAATAGATCATGTGTATGTGTTCGGAGAATAGATCATGTGTTCGGGGAATAGATCATGTGTTCGGGGAAATAGATCATGTGTTCGGAGAAATAGATCATGTGTTCGGGGAAATAGATCATGTGTTCGGAGAAATATGTTTCAGTGTAAAAACCACTCTGATATATTTTCTTTGTAAATGTCGGTTGCGGCCGCTGTCTGTAAAAAATAGTGCTGTAATATACTGCAGCAATAGGACCGTCTTTCTTGCGACGTCTTGGCCATTTCTGTGATTGCTCTTGAGCAAGCGCAGTTTTTATAGGCAAACTGAACCTAGCTTCGAATAGCAGCAATTGTGCTTTAGTAACACAACTTATCATTCGATGTAATGGACAAAACCTCTTAAAATGACCAGGACCACAGACCACATTAATTTTTATTTTGGACACGTAAGTTATAATTAGGTCTTTTGTTACAAAAGTTTAATTAGTTCTATCTGCCAATTATTTTCACTTCAGTAACCTAATCGAAGGGTAAGTATAACATATTCTCGTTACTGGTGCAAATGTATCGGCGATACTTTAAATTTGAGAAGAGTATAACGGTTAGCAGGTTAAGTTTGGCCAAGGTTTAGCCGAGTCTATGGTTCGTTATACTATACAGAAATTCATTTGAAAATATCGTTTATCTTTATTTGCAGTTGGCAAAATCTGTCATCCCTTATCATAAATTAACTTAACTATTTATTTGAAATTTATTTACTAATAAAAAATTAAAATATATTCGCGATTCCATTAATCCATCTATACACAGAGCATGCCGAATATAATATAAGTTCATAAATTTAAGGTTTTACAGTAAAATAATGCAGATTTTTGTAACAACATATATATTTTTAATCCTAAACCGGATAGATGAATTGTCTTAGTCACCCAACTTGCATGACAGAATAAACTTATATGAATTTTATATTAAAGTTCTATATCAAAAGCCCAGAATATTAAAGTTATATCTTCTGGGTTCTTTCTTTAGCCGTTTAACGTCACATGCAAAGGTGGGCAGTAGCGCGCTACATGCGGCGGCCGCTACTAGTGGCCGCTACATTTTCAGTAGCGATAGCGGTAGCGGCCCTACATTCAAGCAATGGTAGCGGTAGCGCTAGCTACATTTAGAGCATGTAACGGTAGATGTAGCGCCCGCTACATTTAGAGCACGTAGCGGTAGCGGTAGCGGCCGCTACATTTCAAAGTAGCGCTGCCCAGCTCTGGTCACATGACAATCGATCTAATTGGTTACGACCACGAATTCGATCGTCACTTCTGCTACTAAGTCAGGCAAGTATTCTAATGAGAAGTTCTGTTACTTTGTTTGGCAAGTATTGCAATAAGATTTGCTTATATGTGAGGCAAGTTTTTAAGGAGAAGATCTAATTCCATATATCAGGCAATAAAGGCAATGAGAAGATGCTATCATGTCAGGCAGGTAATGTAATGAGTATTGTACTGAGGCCTCTGATTATATGATCAATATGAGCCTCTGTATTGCGAATAACGTGCATCATTCATCATGACGTCATGAAATGATCACAAATATCATGAAATAGATACGAGATACCGGCAGTTAAATATGGCGACGCTCACATTTATTCTGCTGTGTCTGCCATGCAGATAATAGCGAATGCAACTGATTTGCGGCTATTTAGCTAAATCAAAATGATTTTTTTTTGTTTCATAATTGCCCTGCTATTGTCAGGCAATTACGCGAAGAAATGAAAACTTGAACCGTCTCTTTTAAGTGATAGTACAACCATTTTGCTCCATGACAAACATTATTTCTGAGATCTGACTTTTGCGCTGAAATTGTGGAACAGATTTTTAATTATGTTGTTCCAAACTAATATAAAAATTGTTCCATTAACCACATAATAATCTGCTATTAATATAGCCTTAATCAATTACTTCCATTAGTTATCTACTTTCTCAAGAATACGCGTTCGAATTTCACGAGAACCGCGGAATATTTTACCACACATCTATTATGTCAATATTGTATGTAAAGCCCTCGTTAAAAGTTTACTTCCCTCGAACGAACGAGTTATTAATTGTCTCAAGATCGTTGGTCTTGGTCCTAAAGCAGTTATTCCCAGAAATATTTTAAAACAAACCTTGAGTTATCAGATGAAGATCACTCCATATCTGCGATCATCGGGACTAGTTCATGAAAAAACATGAACAAGCTTACTGATTGATTCCTTGTGTATTTTTCGTACGAATATTGCCATGATCGAATTATTCGACTACCGTAAGCCTTGCCCGACTGCATAATTTTAATACGTTATTATCGTACCGAGATTAGGGACAGGCAAGCCGACTATGGTTAAAACGGCTGCTTTAGTTCCCTTATATGCAGTCATCACAAAGTAAGTCTTCCACGATGAGATTAACCTCGCTACACGAAGACCGCACGAGCAACTTGCAGCGCCGCGTCTCCGCCCTCCGCGCGATCTCATTGAGTCGGGATTGCCTGGGTCTGCTGGAATACCGTCAAAGCTGCCAGCAAAATAAGGAGCTTGTCAAACGCGCGCGACCAGCATTCGAGTTACCGCTGTGGGCTCGGGCGAACATGTTTACAAAAGATCTCTTTCTGAATAAGTTTATTCAGACACTTGAGTTTTGAAGTTTATTCAGACGCTTGAAAGGACGACTCCAGAATTCCAGAGGAGAATTTGTATGATATATTGGTTCATATTTAAGGCTAAACTTTTCTTATAAAACATGAAGTCGCATTCGAAATTTGTATTGTGAAATAGGAAAATATGGAAAATGGAAAAATCGTAAATCTTGTCTCTTTTCATTGATTATAATTAAGCGGGAAACCGCAATCACTATTGGTATTAATATATAATACTGATGCGCAACGACAATTGCAATAATTAGAATAGTTGCATTATTATTAACCATGAAAATAGTAGAAAAATTCATCAATGTTGTAAATGTTTACTGTAAACAAAATAGCTTCTCTAGTATCCATTCAAATCGTACTAATACGAATTTAAGTATATAACTAACATACAATTGGATAACATCATACCAGGAAAATGAAGTTATAAAAAATTAATTAAGGTTGATCCTACGAAAAAAACGTTGAATTTAAAGTTGATTTGACGTCAGATGTGTGGTGAAGTTTTTCATGTAGAGCCGTGGAAAATGACGCTGTGTGTACAGACAGCATTCGATATCTCGTCAACCGTTACGATATGGCGGAGATAAATTAAGAGTGAAAATTAAAAATACGAATTGTGCATCATTTAACACAGAATATCTTCCAAAAAGCTGACTATAAAATACGAGTGTTGAGAACGACATCTCAAAACGTTGAAAATAAATATAAGTTCTCACTCCGACGTGCGGACGCCAATTCAGAATTTTTTGGCATATTTTATTGATCACTGATTATTTTTCAAGACTTAGTACACGAACTTGATCACAATAATGGATCGCCATACCAGCGGACTTTGTTCTTTTTCCCTAGTTCCGGCAGATTATTAACTCAACATAAATATGGTTATTGTGATTAATTATTAAGATAAAATGTTCCACCGCAAATACTGAGAGAATAGGAGTCACTATCCGTGCAGATATCAGTCTCACTCGGTTGCTTGAATCGCACATTAACCGGGAATTTAAAAGCAAAGAACCTTCATAAAAAACTTGCATGCTTTCAGTAGTAAAATCATTAAGCTGCTGTAGCAAAATATGCGCTGTTCTACAAGAAAGCGATACATTTGGAAATTGCATTAATTATATTCTCCCTGATACAATACAACAATATTTTAAAAGACAGTACTCAAAAATGTAATCGATTGTGCAGTTAAATCCCCAAAAATATTTGAACTGTCAATTGTTTTATTTACATTTTGCAAACTTTATTTGCACTCAAGGTGTATTCGAGCGCAGCATTTTTGAATTTATTCAAAAATATAGTATTCGACATAATAAATTAATTTTGATCTGGGCTGAATGATCTACACCAAGCATTACATTTACTTGTAGTGCGTTATGCAATATACACGGCAGTTCACTGTGGCAGTGTAAAACACTGGCACTGATAGACGAGCGCGCGGCAGAAGCAGCAGGTGTCAGTGCCACACGCGGCACTCTCAATTGGTGCCAGTCTCGGTCGTGACGCGGGCATAGCAGCGACGCTCCTCTCCGGCTGTACTGTGAAGTGTGAGCCAACACTGGCTATGTCACTGCCTGCCATATGTCAAGTGATCAAAAGTGATGTGAAATACGGGTGCTGGATCAGCAATTGCAGGCAGAATCTTATGTTGCAAGCATTAATGGGACTTCATGAAGAGTTCTAGCGGATGTTGATCAATTGATTTTCCAATGATGTGAAATTGATAATCACTAATTAACATTCACCTATAATTGGATATGTAGTTTTTAGTACCTTAACTGCAAGTCCATGAATATATAAGAAGAGACTTTAAAAGCTGAGAATTTTATCAGTGAAGCCTTATGAAGAATTTTACTAATAAAATTATGAAGAATTTTATTAGTGAAGCTTTTCTCAGTGAGTCTATCCTCCTATTTATTATATCATCCTAAACCGATTGTTTCACATTAATTTAAGACTTAGGATCTGCGGGGCTGCGTTCTTTGCCTTCATTCTATTTGTTATCAAATTTAAAACACGTCGTTTGATTTTTGGATCGATTAATCACAAAGAACCAACATTACAACGGTCGCTAAAAAGCGAAATTTTTCTCTTAAACGTAAAAACGTCTACATTCACTAATACTTAAATGGTATAACATAACGAAAACAATTCTCAGTACAAATTATCATGTACGTTTATCAATGTTGCATTACTGATAAAAAATGCTGCGCAACGGACTCAAAATGGATCTGTATGGAGTTATTTTTGTACCAAGTTTGATATTTATGTTTTCAGCGCGGATCTTCGATTGACAACAAAAGGTCATTGCCAAGTCCGACCGTTGCATCGTCAAATTCAAGCACTTGAACACTAATTACATGTTCAGATCTTAGCTCAAATAGAATCGAGATGAAACTTGATCGAAAGGAATAATGATACCAATTAATTGCTGAAATACTGCTCAGGTTAGAAGGATATTAAAGGAAATATTGTTGATACGAATGTCGTGAAAATTAAAGTCTATACGACCGTAACAGGAGGTATAGTTCATATCTGCTGCAACCATCACTTTACACGATGGCCATCTAAGTCTTCTTAAAAAATAAGCTTCTAAACTTAATGCCGGTTTGTTGAACAGAATTTTTATAAAAATTTTCCTTGTGTTTTCTCAATTTGGTAAATTAGACTATTGTTGGGCTTGAAAGTTGAAATATATTAGGTTTACAAGGAACAAAATTGCGTTATATGATATAGTCTGCTAAACATATAATCACGCTTAAATTGGCACACTGGAATTAGAGCGAAAAGTTTGAATGCGATGAGAAATAAAACGATGTTACTAGAATAGTCTAAAATCTAAAAACGATTTCCTCTTTGTCCATCGAATACAAAATGTTTTTAATATGAACTGTAACATTTCCCACTCATTTTAAATAGATATTGATACGTTTTCATTGATTTCTTACAGAATTTTTTGGAAATGACACAGTGCTCTAAAGTATGAGTTTTGAAGAGCACCATTCAATTCTTTACACATGTGAATGATCTACACTGTAATAACGTCGTGGTGTTTTGGGTGAACGTTTTGATAGAAGACATAAAGTGTTGTTGTTATGACCACCGTATCACACACCCTGCTGAGATTTATAGGTGCTTGCCGGCCACATTGAAGTCGAAAATGATGAATCGATTTTAATTGTTACTGAAGGTTAACACGGTATCGCTTGTTGCTGCAGCCTGTAGTGTCGACATTAACCGACAACTGTACAGCTTTTTTTATAAATGCATTACGGATCACTGGCAACAATTTAAGAGGTGGTCATACTATAGTGTACCTTGAAAAGTTTGATCTAAAACGAGCTTTATTTTTAAGTTATTCTTCATGCTTTTATTGTGTCAAGTTCAAGTTAATTAATCCTACAATTGTCTTCACAAATATCAGACACCATGCATATACTTGAGATTTAAATGATAACGATCAGAATAAAAGTTTAGAAGAAAATTCGTGCTGTAACCCGGACATTGTGTTCGGATGTTTGATGGAATTCCTTATTAAAATGGATATCCTGTGATCGACGCCTGTCTGCAGAGTCGAAAGGTGAGTTATAACAGCATACGTGAATAATGACATAGAAATTTTTAATTTCACTATCGGTTCGAAATTCATAGTTCCAAATCATTAGTCGTCTACAGTATTATAATTTAGAGATGTTCCGCCACTCATTTTCTACGTTAATCGCAAAAATACGGTATGAATATTTTGAGTAATGGCATGAGTAAGTCGTATAAAATATTAGAAAAGGTTTTTCGGTAATAAAAATTAACCAATGCACGTGCAGCTTTGAATCACACAGTGCGTGAAGTCTGCCTTGCATAAGACATGCGTGCACTCTAATGCATTGCCGTATACGTATGTGATGCTCACCTTCCATAAGATATGTGGTATGGAATTCCGATGATCTCAGTTTTGTCCCTTAAGCAAATGAGAAAAAATATAACTCAGAACTCACTGCAGTGAGTGACAGAGAGCGCATTTTCTCGTCGACGAAAACTTGAGGTCACGGACAAACGGACGGACAGACAGACGGACAGACAGACAGACGGACATGGCGAGCACAATAGTGCATTTTTTTCCATAAATGAGAAAATGCGCTAAAAATACCTGGATTCACTTACAATGGGGACCTACCGGGGCTAACTATTTTTTTACAAACTAGAGAATAAAATTACATTCACACATCAGCATAAAATTGAAAGACCAAGAATTGCGATATACATTGAGTTCATTATTTTTCGCTTTATAATCGTTCTGAATAAATAAGGAAATAAATATTTTTCCTATTCAGAAGATCGCATACATAAATCGAATAATATAATAAAATGCTCATCTTACTGAATGTTTGCAGTTATCCGTTCAAGACAGTCTAACCCATAATTCAATCTTCGTTTTTGTGAAATGCGTTTTTTGACATATCTCAGAGTAGCAAGTGTGACTTGGTTGCATATAAATAACAATTACGGAAAATTGTTTTGAATTATTTTCGAGGTTGCTGGGTCAACATACAAGTACATGTCTATTATGCGACTCGGGCATGGACATGTCACTTGAAAATAAGATGGTTCCAAAGGCCGGATCCCTTGTGAATCAAGTCACGAAAAGTTCAAGAATCGGCAACAGGCCATGGGCCTATTTCTTCAACGCCGACACTTCTATTCTATTCTATAGGGATTTATTGCTGCGGTGGAATACGATACAGCTATTATTGCTAAACGCAAGAAATAACTTAGTTGGTGTGAGGGACATAAAATAGAATTAGCGCTGAGATCGACCGCCTCTTGGTTAGTATTAACCTGTTTTACTAACATTATATTATCCGAAAAGCTAAATCAAACTTCTTTCAACTTTAATGACCCTCTAATGGTCGAATATAAGGTGATAATGCTAGCCAGATCTTAACCCAAGATTTAATTGAGTTCTTTTGACACACTCTCCCGATTGCTGACGTATTTCTTTCTCCAAATTGACGTTATTCTTTTCAGAATTTTGCTCGATTTTTGTACTATTAAATTACCTGAAAAGGTTTTATGTGCGCATTATTATACACGTATTTATCCAGCAAGAAATATTCTTTTGAAATAAAACAATTAGTTAAAATAGCTTAGAGTCTTATAATGACCAATAAAATGCGATTTGGGAGTATAATTATATGAATAGGACTTTTAAATATAGACGTAAATAGAACGAAAATTATACGTCCGCTCGTTCAAAAATGTCTCGTTAAAAAATCGTGCGTTTCTTTCAATTCTCAAACACCAACGACCTTACAAAATTGCCTAATTTTAAAAGTACTGGGTTAATCTAAATGATGGACACATTTTAATAAATTCATATTTTTAAAGTATAATAGATTAAAAATGAATAATTTATACACAAATATAATGAGAACGACTCAAAGTTTATTTTACACATTTTTGAATGTTCAATATGTCTCTTGTGCTGCACGGCAAACATCTAAACGGTAGCCAAACTCGTCCCACACACGAGAATGCATATCTTCTGCATGTTACTTAGTGCACCGTAGCAGTGATACGGTTCTTTAGATCAACCAGTGTTGCTGGTAGAGGCCGGATGTAAACAGAGTTACTGGTAGAGGCGGGACGTAAACAAAGTTGCTGGTAGAGGCGGGACAAACAGAGTTGCTGGTAGAGGCGGGACGTAAACAAAGTTGCTGGTAGAGGCAGGATGTAAACAGAGTTGCTAGTAGAGGCGGGACGTAAACAGAGTTGCTGGTAGAGGCGGGACGTAAACAGAGTTGCTGGTAGAGGCGGGACGTAAACAGAGTTGATGGTAGAGGCGGGACGTAAACAGAGTTGCTGGTAGAGGCGGGACGTAAACGAGTTGCTGGTAGAGGCGGGACGTAAACAGAGTTGCTGGTAGAGGCGGGACGCAAACAGTTTCCTTGACGTAACCCCATAATAAATAGTCACATGGGGTGAGATCAGGTGATCTCGGTGGCCAGAAGTGTAGAGCCAGATCTTCATTTCCTAGTGACAGTGAAACACAAAGGCGGTTGGCTGGCGCGAGAACTTTAGCAGCCATTTCTGCGACTACCGCCGCCCTCGCCCAATTCCGAATTTAAATATGTAAAGAAATTGAAGAATAATCGAGTATTTAAATATATTTCATAATTTGGCAAATAAATTTCAAATTTAGTATCTTAATATGATAAATATAGGGTAACATGGGGCAGCGAGCCCACTGCGGGTCATGGGCCCATAGCGGGTTTCTCGCTAAGTATGGCAGATATTGGTCCGTGTTCTTTACCGCCGGTCGACAGTTTCACTGGGATGAAGTGTACGGATTTACGTTTTGCCAAGTGTTTGCGTTATTAATTAATTTGTGATTAACTGTTTTAGCCCAGATAAAAATTTCTTTGCCGCTAAATAAAACTGTTGTCGATTACTGTAGATGAAAGCTTTTGAAATTACTTTGAATTATATTTTGAAAGTAATATTTATAGGGATAATTTTGAGATCAAGTTTACACTATTAGCTTTTAAAATAAAATGTTGACACGATATAAATTGAAATGATACCTAGTGGGGCAACGGGCCCACGCGTGTCACGGGGCAAAGCGCCCATGGTGAAGTCTTGTGTTATACATAATTAGATTTGTCTCAATGACCTTTTCAAAATTATGACTAGCTTTTTGAATTACAAATTACACTTCATATTGCATGATTTTTTTATTTAACGCCTCAAGGCAGCAGATTTAGTTTCTAAATATGCGTATTTATGACCCCTTATCGAGTTATTGACTCTTGCCTTGCCAAAAGTTGATTTCAGTCAACATTAACAGTGAGTCAAAAGTTGATGAGTTTTTATGGTGTTGGCTGAAATCACGATTAGGTACGAATTCTCTGCACATAATGTATGGATTATGGACGAAACTGGAACGAGGTTTTTTTCTGATCAACTAAATATATTTTTTCTAGTCAAGGATACATTTTTTCATGTCAAGGAAGAATTTTTTATCGCAAGGATATATTTTTGCAAGTCAAGGATATATATTTTTATGTCAATGAAATATTTTTCTTTACGACAGTGATAGATTTTTAAGCCAAGAAAATATTTTTTTCAAGTTAAGGATATGATTTATTGAGTTGTTAATAAATGAATGAATGTCATATTTTTTATCACATTTTTCTTATTTTTAACTGTAAAGTGTTGTTTTATCATTTTTAAATGAAAAAATATGCAATTGTGGTAAAGGGACCAAGGGTGGGCGCCTTGCCCCAAGCCCATGGGCCCATTGCCCCAGGGGTGGGGCAATGGGCCCATTTTGACACTTATTACAAAAAATAGTGTTTCATTAAAAATACACTAACTCTATAGGGCGTCTAATTCACATCATACATCCCTCATTAGCTGTACCTTTAAACAAAATAAAAGAACCACCTCGTATCAATTAAAACTTCATCAAAAATTTAGTTTAAAAAAAGGGGGGGGGGGCGCTGCCCCATGTTGCCCTACATATATAAAGCATAATTTGAAATAATGCGCTTTTCTCCTTTTCCATTTAAGTTTTTGAAGTATTCTGATTTCATCATGAATCAGAATACTTCTAATTGTTGAAGAATACCTAATTCATCTAGTTTGTAAATAAAGTCTTAAACTCGAACCGACGTACGTGTAGTTTAGAACTAAAAGCTCAGACATAATTTATTTTCTTTTTGTGTAGGCGAGGTTTCTGGAAGTAAACTTTAATGACGAAGCTTCACCTGACATTAATTTTGAGTGAAGGAATGAATTAAATATTCTTCCGCCGCTAAATTACTCACACGATGCGAAGTAAACTGAAAATTTGTCAATAGAGCAGGTTCTACAAACATGCTAATGTATTATTTTGTAGTATCCCATAACATATACTATTATATTATGTATTGATTTTCTAAACATTTAATTATATTCCGTTATAAGTTCTCTAGACACGTTTTTGGTTACTTTCGGGCCGGTGTCGAATCCCTTCACGTTTAAGTATTCGGGAAAAACTTGAGGATATGAGCAAAACTGATAATAATTCATCCATGTAGTATAATTCATCCATGTAATTATTGTATATCTGACAACTTCTATGGAAATAAAATGACTATTTTCACTATATCACGTTATTTGTGATAATATCCGCTAATCATGACAAGCATCACGGTTTTATTACAGTACTCAAGTTTAGAAATAAGGAATTATTTAAGTATAATTTCTACCTGATTGCTGTTATGATGGAGACATTTCATTGTCTAGTTAAGTTAGCTATATTGCGTGCCGAGCGCGGGCTGTGGTGGTAGCATCACACCGCCTATTAAATTCGCTGAACCAAAGCCGAAAGAAGTTAAAGCAGGTGATCCTATGCTCGAATCCAGTATGGAATTCTTTACTTAAAAATGATGAAAGGAAGTTCTGTGTGCATGGCTTACCGGCTTACAGAGATTAGAAGCCGAAATGAGTTCGTCTGAACTTCGCATAATAAGGGAATTTCATGAGGTACAAATGAAGTAAAGTCCACCGTCTCTCACCTGAAATTGAAATAAAGGATGAGTG